GCTCATTTGAGACATCAGTGCTGCGGGTAATGTGTAGCACACTGCCACACAGTGACAAATAATTCTTACTGCACTCTCAAGAAATAGACTTTCAAAGAATTTGCCTATTGCAGTATTTTCTGCGTGATGAATCAAAATCAGACCTGATATAAATACTTACTGCAGCAGTGGCTCCAGTGTGGATACATACACCTGTACTTCACATGAACGTGTGTGAGTTTTTAAATGCCAAACAAGCAAAAAAGTACATACTGAAAATACACTCTCTTCCCATCTCCCCCCCAAAAGCTAACCAACTTTAAAAGCACTAACCCAGGCCCACTAGTATAATAGGATCAAAACTGTGTCTGGAAAGCTGCCTGGCAGAAAAGGACCTAGGGGTGTTGTTCAACAGCCGGCTGAACATGAGCTTGTGCCCAGGCAGCCAAGAAAGCCAATGGCATCCTGGCCAGTATCAGAAATAGCATAGCCAGCAGGGCCAGGGCAGGGATCATCCCCCTGTATTTGGCACTGGTGAGACCACACCTCAATACTCTGTTCAGTTCTGGGCCTCTCACTACAAGACATTGAGGTGCTGGAGCGAGTCCACAAGTAATGGCTGGGGAGTCTGGAGAAAGGAGGTGCAGGGGAGAGCTACAGCTACCTGAAAGGAGGGTGTAGTGAGGTGGGTACCAGTCTCTTCTCCCAGGTAAGAAGCAATAGGCCTCAAGTTAAACCTCAACCTCAACCTAAACCTGGGAAGTTTAGGTTGGATGTTAGGAAAAATTTCTTCACAAAAAGGTTGTCAAGCATTGGAACAGGCTGCCCAGATAAGTGGTTGAGTCACCATCCCTGGAGGTATTTAAAAGACCTCCAGGATGTGGTCATTTAGGGACATGCTTTATTGGTGGACTTGGCAGTGCTAGGTTAATAGTTGGACTCAGTGGTTTTAAAGGTCTTTTCCAACCTAAAAGATTCTATAAAATTTCCAGCTGTTTTCCTGCTGCAGCTGTGCTCCCCAGAGCAAGTACATTTTTCAATCTAAGCCCTGTATTCAAGAACTGACTTCCCAAATTTCCAATTCAAGTAAAACTTCCATCTTAGCGCTGTAAAAATAAATTGTGAGGCCACGCATCCAGTTTTTAAGTAAATGTGAAGTAAAGGTAAAGGTAAAATGTGAGCTAACAAAATGTGAATATTAGAAGACAATAATATAAAGTGAGCCTTTAAAAAATAAATAAAATTATGAAATGATTAATAAGTTGCCATCACTATAAGGAGGTGTTTTGTTATTTTTGACCACTGCCTGGCAGGTTTAGCACTCTCCAGGGCTCTTAAGAAAGAAACTCACGAGTCCCTGTTGTTGAACTACGTCTCAACTTCCCTGCCAGCACTGCACACTCACTAACCCTCTAAGAATATTATATAAGCCTTATCTCTAGCTTTCTATGTGGTTTTCCAAGAGGCCCTCATTTTCTGGCTTATCTTAGTACAAAAGCAGTCTCTATGTAACAACTCCTCACTCCCACAAATACCCATCTCTTGCATTCCTACCTCAGGGCTACACAGTCAGCTCCATGATCCACTCCATCTACCCCACCAGTACCATGGTATGAATCCCAAATCTACTGTGCACTGGCTGCTACTTAAAAATAAGAAAAATAAGAGGGTTTGGGGACAAAATGAGATGTTGCAAAGAACGTGAAGAGCCATTAGTGCAGTGAATCTGTGGCAACAGCAGCAGTATCAGCCACTCTGCTTGGGTGGGCATGAGAAGGGGCTTCCCTTCCAAAGAAAGATCAGCCTCAATTAACAGCTTGCAGCAAGCTATCCCTAATCACCAGGAGCTAGAGAGAAACAGAGACCCCATCTGTCACAGAAGGTGTATCAAATAATGCAGGAGTGGAAACACAGAGAACTGTTTTTGAGATGGGAATGAAATGGTTGATTCCCCCACAGCTCAGCATCTTGCAGTGTCACTGACCACAGGACAGTGTAAGGGGCTAGAATATTATCCAGTTAAAATGATGATTTTCCTGTATCTTAGTCACAGGTTCTGGCAAGATCACCTCCTTTCCCCCTCTTTGGGGATGTTAAATACATGTTGCAGGATGCAGAACCACAGGCCACTTACACTGACTGCACTCAAGTTCCTCCTTTCAAGCTGCATAGCCCCAGGCTGAAGCCTTCTTCAGGAGGAAGTGTGAGTGTGGAGTACAGCTAAGAGGAAGCTGCACCAGGGGAACCACAGGCTTGCAGGAACTCTGGGAACTTGATTTCTTCTTTTTATTTTCTGAAAATTTACAGCTGGAAAAAGACACAGGCTGTGTGGCCTGAAGCATCTGACACTGTCCCACACAACATCCTTGTCTCTAAACTGGAGAGACATGGATTTGATGGAAGGACCATTCAGTGGATAAGCAATTGGCTGGATGGTCACACTCAGAGAGTTATGGTCAACTGCTTGATGTCCAAGTGGAGATCAATGACAATGGTGTTCCTCAGGGGTCAGTGTTGGGACCAGCACTGTTCATCTTTGTCGGTGACATGGACAGTGGGATTGATGCACCCTCAGCAAGTTTGCCAACGACACCAAGCTGTGTGGCTCGGTTGATATGCTGGAGGGAAGGGATGCCATCCAGCGGGACCTGGACACGCTCGAGAGGTGGCCAATGACAACCTCATGAAGTTCAACAATGCGAAGTGCAAGGTCCTACACCTGGATCAGGGCAATCCTGGGCACAAATAAAGGCTATGTGGAGACTGGATTGAGAGCAGCCCTGAGGAGGACAGCTTGGGGGTGTTGGTCAGTGAAAAGCTCAATATCACCTGGCAATACACACTTGCAGCCCAGAAAGCCAACCATATCCTGGGCTGCATCGAATGAAGTGTGTCCAGCAGGTCAAGGGAGGTGATTCACCCCCTTTACTCTGTTCTCATGAGATCCCACCTGCAGCACTGTGTTCAGCTCTAGGGACCTCAACACTAAAGGGACATGGAGCTGTTGGAGAGAGTCCAGAGGAGGCCACAGAGATGACCAGAGGGCTGGAGCATCTCTCCGCTGAAGATGGGCTGAAAGAGCTGGGATTTTTCAGCCTGGAGAAGAGGGAGGCTCCAGGGAGACCTTAGAGAAGCCTTCCAGTACCTAAAGAGGACCAACAAGAAACCTGGAGAGGGACCTTTTACAAGGACATGTAGAGGTAGGACAAGAGGTAACGGCTTTAATCTGAAAGAGGGTAGATTAGGTTAGATACAAGGAAGAAGTTCTTCGCAGTGAGGAAGGTGAGGCACTGGAACAGGTTGCCCAGAGAAGTTGTGGATGTCCCATCCCTGGCAGTGTTCAAGGCCGGGTTCGATGGGGCTTTGAGCAACCTTGTCTAGTGGGAGGTGTCCCTGCTTATGGTACGGGGGTTTGAACTAGGTGATCTTTAAGGTCCCTTCCAACCCAAATTGTTCTATGTTTCTTTGAAGATCAACAGCTTGCCAGTTCATGTTCCTCTGCCATGTTTGCACACACTTGCCCTTGACACTCGCCAGCTAGCTTTAGCTAATCTGGCTTCCTTTTGTGTTTTCACATACCAGAACCAAAGCCAAACTGTTCAAAATCAGACCCTGTGAATAGAATAGATCCCAATTTACATGATTATTTTCTCCATAAATGGTATTCATTCACTTACTGCACAGCCTCACAGCTCAGCAGGCAAAACAACACAAGGACCTAGGAAGCCTTGCTTTATGTTTCAGCTCTAGTAACTTGAGAAAGACAAGCAGAAGAGAGCACCATACCCTTCCCAGCACTGCCACAGACGTACGCTTTCTCGCTTGTCTTGTCAGGGCCTCTTTTATGCACACACTTAAGGTACAGGTTAGGGACACTGACCCACATTTTCCCAAATGGGGCTAGGAAGATCTACTTTGAAACAAGTACTCATTCCTCCTGAGTCACCAAGTCCTATCCCCAGCACTATCTAACTAGAAGTTTCCACTGTAATTCAAAGAGTGATTAATAGAGAGCAAACATACCTGTGACTACTTAAAAACAGTAGCACAAGAAGCAAAGAAATCTACTGTAGGTTTTTCCAGTTGCTTCAAATACATACAAATATGACCGTAAAGACTTAGCCCGCCTCAGTACTCAGGGAACAAAAGTTCTGCTGACTTCAGTGACTGCTAGCTGCAAGTGGCAGACCTAATAACTCGGTCTTTAAACCTGGAAGATGACTGTGGAATAACCTACAATAAGGGCTGAAGGAATCTCAGTTATAAACTTAGCCTTTTTAAGTGTAACTACAACCAGAAACATTTTTGAGAAAAGGACTGAGAGATCCAAGATAAAGCTACAGACACATAAAGAGGCAGAAGATCTCATAAGTTATGAAATGCAAGTTATCAACATAGCTAACAGCTATGTTGATTTCTGGTGTAGTCTTTCCTTCCTGCAAAGGGTATATATTTTTTATATAATCCAGGCAGACAGCATTAGTATTCCTTTTCAAGTTTTCTCTATTTCAGCTATATGAGCAAATGAGTAAGAGTGTGTGTTCATGTGTGCCTGTACACACCCGCCTGGGGGACCATTTAAAATAATTTAAATAGCTTTTATTTTTAATGTATTAGGTGACTGAAAACATTTTTCACATAATTGAAAAGGTTAAAATTGACCAGGGCATATTCAAGCAGAGACTAAACACAAGCTTCAAGTCCCAGCAACCATTT